CCTTCGTCTGCGGCATGGGGCCGTCGGCCCCTGAGACGACGAGATGTGCTCCTTCATCTCTCTCTCTCTCTCCCTCTCTCTCTCTCTCTCTCTCTCTCTCTCTCTCTCTCATCTCCTTCAGCCGGTGTTGATGACGGTGTTCACGTGGGCGTAGTGACGGCGGCGGCCTCCGACGACTGACGACAGCCACCGAGCGACCGTATCTCCGGCGACGTCTCTCTCTGTCGTCCTTCATCTCCGGCGTCCTTCGTCTCCTTCGGTATCATGAACCATATTTGGTTTAAACCCATTAACCAAACTGACCTAAAAGTATCTAATTTCGTAACCATCCACATTGAGTCTTCTCTCTTTGATGAATGTTAAGTCTTTTCTTCGTTGTCTCTGAGAAAACCAGTATGACTCACCGAGGCGGCTGACAAGTCTGTACTATTAATTAGTCCAACCTTGGAGAGCCTAAATGTTAGCTGTAACAAAACAGTTAAGACATTTGTGAGAATGGAACTCTCCATAATATATACAATATAGAAAGGCGAAAAGGAATTTTCTGATTTTTTTTTTTTTTTTTTGTTCTTTTTTTGGTTTTGGGCGGGGATTATAAAATAGGAAAAAAATAAAACCACATAATATTAACCTTGATGTGACCATCTTGACCTATTAGTAAGTTATCTGGCTTTAAATCTCTGTGAATGACAATTAAAGAATGCAAATACTCCAACGCAAGAATCGAGAAAAAAAAGAAAAGGAGGACACATAATAATCTTATGGAAAGTTATATTGCCAGAGGCTTGTACATGAGAATCTAACAAAAGACAAGGACGTTAGTGTGCCTTACAACTTCTGCAATATATGCACGGGCCATATCTTCATCTAAACATCGCAGACTTCTTAACAAAGAGTAAAGATCTCCACCATTTAAGTACTGCATAACCAAATAAAGATTTTCTCTGCATGTGAATGAGTAGAAAAAGGGGACTTGTATGTCATGAGGTTATAAAACATCAGTACAAGTATTCGGCTTAACAATAGGTTTGAAGGAGTTGTACAGTTATACTTCATGGGACTGCTTACCACAAACGGGTTGTGAACAAAGATAAGGATGTTACGCTCTGCCAAAATGCTTTCAACTGAATTTTTACAAATCATATTAGCCTTCTTTAGCACCTACATATAAAAATAAGATAAAAACACATGATATGATTACCAGATTTCCAAGGAAACTAAATCATAATTTCACAGATCGATATTTTAGGGATGCTTATGCATGCCTATTTCAACATCTATATCCAATAAATTGAAAAGATAAGGTGTTTGTAAATTCTTAAGAATATAGAAGTATCATATCTCTATATCAAACCATTTTCTGACATTTCACCTTTATAGCAAATAAGTCTCCAGTCGTTCTTTTTATGCAATGAACACTCGTCCAAATGCACCCCTGCTTATTGGTTTTATTATCTCGAAATCTTCAATAGATGTTCGGTCATTGGAGCACGCATTGATAGGGCTGGTACGCAGACTGCGGATTGTATCTTCTTCTAGTGAACTCACCACATCAGCCATATTTGATGAATCTACTTTTTCATCATCTATTTGCCCACAAAGGTGTACATACTTCTCCCTACAGTTGTAAAAGCACAAACAGTAGATTGAATTGGAAACATTGTGTGATTTTACCATATGAAATTTACCATCCAACTTATATAATACACGAAAAATACAATGGCAATAATGGATAAAATAGTTTATGGTATGGAAGCTTCAACTACATGGATCTTTTGGAAGGAAAAGCACACTTGTAAGACTATCCAAATATATGTTGTCACAAGGTATAAAGTAAATGTTATTGACTCACTGTAATAATTTCTCAATATGTTTTCCAAAAGTCTCTATGATGAGAGCGTCCATCTTCCTATTTTGGATGACATATTTTAGGTAATCCAGCCCCTTAAGCATATATTGCAATGAGAACGATATATGCTGGAGCAATTGAAGCTCTTCCTTCTAGTCTTGATCTAAGAAGGAGAATTTTTGAGATATTGGAGGCAGTATCAGAAGAAATGCGAGAACAAATACTAAGCGAGATGAAGAAAGATTTTTCAACTGGACCGGAGTATTGGGACTGGCTTGCTAGACTTGAATTTGATCCTGAAAGCGCGGAGGAAATGAGTGAAGAACTCGTGCTTTCTTATATAATTTGATCCTTTTTTTTTTGGTGATTACTTATATATACCTTATTGACATGCTATATACCTATGGTAGATAAAGTACTAAACATTGCACTTTGTCCTTCAAAGATGCCAGATACGTTGCATAGCCTCTAAACAGTCTTACTGACATGTTTTTGGCTGGTTATGTACTTAATTACTTATCATTCTGTAGAAATTTAGAGGTTGTTCTTTTAGAGTGTAACTTGAGTGTAGTTTTGACTTATAACTTGAGTTGAAGTTAAAATTTGAATAAAATTGAGTAAAATTGAATAAAATTGAAACTTAAAATAACGTGAACTTAAATAAAGTTGAAACTTGAGTTGTCTTTTTTTGAGTTTTATGGACAAAAGAAAGGTTTCATTGACGGGCATGTTCTTACCCTACAGAATTTGCGATATGTAAAACATGACTTCTTATGCCATATTTCCTTCTAAGTCTTGAAAACCACTAAAACGACTGAAGATTTATTGTTCATTTACACTTAAATTTAAAAAAAAATTGGACTCAAATTATAATAATTTTATTTAAGTTTATATTTTTTTGTAAAATTTAAGTTTAAATTTGAGTTTTAATTTGAGTTGTAACTTGAGTTTGAGGTAAAAATCTGAATTCAAGCTTCCCTTTCAACCTAAGTTCTTAAACTTAAATTCAAGTTAATGAATAATATTCTATCTACTCTTAAAAACGGCGTAACATTTTCGTTTTGACTCTGATTGAGATTATTCTTTTTTTTATGCGTTCACAACAAAAAGACGAATAAAATCTCATCTATATACACTATTAAAAAAATTTATCATCATTGAGTTTTTATCAAAATATTTTCCAAATATAAATTTAAGTTTTAACTCATTCAAACACAAACTTAAATAAATTCTTAACATAAATCATAATTTAAAGATACACAACTAAACATAAATTCAAATTACAATTTCAACTCAAGTTATAATTTAAACTCAATTTAAAATCTATAATCAAGTCACTCTAACTCAAAAATATAACTGAACAAGTAAAACTTGCCACTCAAGAGGGTGTGTTCGGTAAACAAAACTCACTTCGCTTATTCGAGTTGAGATGTAATTTTATGTGAGAGCTTTTTACTGTAGCAAAAAAGTTAGATGTGACTGTTTCTGATAACTTTATACTGTAGCAAAACTCAAATTATAAACTCGAATCGGTGAAGTGAACGGAACCTCAAGTTTCCACCCATTCTCAAGTTTATCCC